GGGAAGAAAAGCAGCATTGAGTGAAAGTTTTGTTCTTCAGTTATTGCATTTATTCCCTTCTCTTGCTCCTTACCTTTATGAAAAAGCAAGAGGAGGTTCAGAGGGTTTTTCTTTGATGCTTACCCTGAGGAAAAGCACCAGCTCTTCTCCCCCGCAGCTCTCCTGGGAGGTCTGAGGGAGCCCCCCACCCCTCAGCTGCTGTTCGGAGCCCTGAAGCATGTCCGCTCGATCGGCCGCGGAGGATGCCGTGTCCCTGCCCACCCCCAGATACTAATGACTGTGAAATAGCCCAGCTGGTGCAGGGAGAACAGCGCCTGCTCTGGGCTGGCGAAGCAGGGGTTGAACCCGGGTTAAAGGCTCCCAAGGTGGCCCCCGAGCCCGGCGCAGCCCCCCGTGCCACTGAACTGGGGGGGTGTGGTGAAATCCCCACACTGTGGGGGACGGTGCCTCCGGCGCCGCTGTGGGCGGACTCTGTGGCTCCTACCTGTAGCGTCCAGCACACCCAGGAGCCACCTTTCCTCCGCGGCGGCCCCGCCAAGCCCCGCCACTGGGTGAGCATCGGCTTTGTTGCACGGCGGAGGGCTGGCATGCACCCGCAGGCCGTTGGGGGACCTTGACCCCCGGCTGCTTCGCTGCGGAGGGCGGCGGTGATTGAGGAGCGGGTGAGTCGCTGCTGTGGGGACACGGGGACAGCCAGCGCCGGTGGGTTTGCCAGCGGTGCGGACGCAGGCATGAGGCTGGTGCTGCCCGCGGGGTCTGTGGTGGGCAGGTTTCTCCGTGCACGCGTTGTCTCGCCCTGTGGCTGGTGGCCGGCAGCGTGCCAGCAGGGAGAGCAGCGGCGGCACCGCTCAGTTCCTCCATGCCCAGCGAGCAGCTCCGGCCCAGGGTGCCCTAAAGGGGTGGATTTAGGTGTTTGGGAGCGGTAATGCCACTGTGTTGGCACATCCTCTGCCCGTGCTGAGGACGTGATTCCCGTTCCTGGCTGCTCCCCACCACCCTCCTGGCAGGGACCACTTGTGCCAGCCGAGGAGCAGCGGGAGCATCCCTGAGCCGGGCACTGGTGCTGACCCAGCTTGCCCCAGGCTGACCGACTGGCATAGCTGTAACTTCAGGGCACCGGTTTTTGGGAGGAGCAGGTGAATGATGCAATGGCCGGGAGAGGCCGGGCTGAGCAGCACCGCGGGCTGGCGGGGCGGCTGGTGTCCTGAGGTGGTCCCGGGGTGCTGGTGGAGTGGGGACGTGGCGTGATGGAGGCCAGCTGGCTTTCTGTGCTCCGCTTCCTTCTTTGGAGGTTTCTTTGAAATGTCAGCGCTGCCTTCCCTCCCTCCCATTATCATAACAGTCCCGATGTATTTGCATTCGCTTTCCAAAGTGCCGTGCCCAGACAGAGGGTGGGTCACCCCGAATCCTGCTCCCAGGATTCCCTCTTAACCTGCTGGGGTGCAAAGGGCTCCCTGGACTTTCGGGGGTGCTGAAGCCCCATTGCTGGATGCCCTGCAGGGTCCCGTTCCCCCCCCCCCGCAGCTGCTGGGTTGTTAGATGCCATCCTGCTCCCCAGGATTTCCTCCTGGTGTGACCTGGGGAAGGGATGGCAGTGCAGGGTGGGGGAGCGGGGATGGTTTGGGGACAGAAGCAGGGGGAAGGGATGCAGCCAGTGAATCCAGGGCAGCGACAGAGCTCATCTCAGCGCAGCTGCCTCCCTCACCGCGACACCCCTCCTTCCAGGGCAGCAGCCCCCCGCGCACGGCTGCCCTGCCGGGGTGGGGGGGCCCGGCAGCCCCCCGTCTTGCCCCTCTCGCCCTTTGCCTGCTGCCAGCTGCTCCCCGGCACTGCACCTGGGCTGGGGGAGGCGGCGTGTGCAGCGCTGCCCTTCGCCTCTCCTCTGCGCGGGGACGCGAGCGGGCGCTGTTTGTCCCCGTCGCCTGCCGGCTGGCTGCCCCGCACCGGGGCTCGCCAGCCCCGGCTGCACCGGAGCCGCCAGCGCCCGTGAGAGCTCCGCCACCACTGCCACCGGGAACACCAATGCCACCGGCACAGGGCTCGGGGGACTGGGACACCTGGGAGAGGACAGCAAGAGCCTTCGCCCGCCGCCGGCATCCCCCTGCCCGTGCGGGGCTGCTGCCCC